AGGTGTACGTGGCTGGCGCCTTAGCCAGTTGAGCCACAGGCGCCGAGCCTACAAAAATGTTTTAAATTGAGGATAAGTGTGCTACAACATAGAAGCGGGTGTAAGATTATGGTGGCGTTCAGCAGCCTCTGCATTCCCCCCAGCCTCACACTAGGTATGGTAGTAGACAAGGTCTCAGCAAGCCTGGAACATGCTGTGGCAGCTGAAGGAGCTCGAAGTCCCAGGCTGCATTCCTGGTGGTGTAAATAAGTAACTATAATGTGTGCCCAGTGTCTTACAGTTAGTGTGGCCCTACTGCCTGTTTGCATCTGTTTTCCTGGTGTAGTTACTATATTAACAGTGCATTAGTATATTAATGTTATTTATAAATATTCTGGGTTTGGAATAGAAATTACATAGTCTCCCTGCTTATAACTTACAAGACCCCTCTCTGTCCCTTCATCATGCCCAGATGATGGGAGAGAGGTGTCTATCTCCTGGATGTGTTTCCTGGACATGAGGTCCATCTCAGGAGGTCATGCCTCAGGAGGGATGGCTGCAGATGTGGCTAGGGGTGGGCATGCCTCAAAGGCTGGCTTCAGCCTTTTGGGGCACTGCCTGGGGGAGCCTGTGAAGATCCATAAAGAAGACAAATCAGACTGTATCACTGCCCCCACTGCTTGGATGTGGGGAGACTGTGCCAGGCTGGCATAGTATGTTCTAGGACACAGTGGTATTTCTGTTCTCAGAGCACAACCTGCAAAGATAACTACACAACAAGCATGTATCTCTGACCTGGGCTAGGTGGAATGGCAGGGAGGGGATGTTTTGAAGTAAGAACTTTCATAATGTGCATTTAGTGCAGAGCAAGGGAGAGGAAGGCATGAAGGAGGAGCAAGTTGCTAGATAGGAGGATGGACAGGTTGTATGTACTCAGAGGTACTACTGGCTCTGGGAACCTGCCATCCTGGTGCCTGGAGTCCCTTCCTCTAGGGAGAGCCCTTTGCCGATTCCATACCAACGGGTTCATGTATGCCTCTGGAGAGCAGAGGAGGTTGCTGAGCCTAGCCTGGGGCTCCTAGTCTGCTCCCCTGATGCTCTTGTCACTGTAGTTCTAA